GTAACAATGAAAAAAAACTTCTAATCTTAGTTAATGTTAATAAATTAAAATCAAAAAGTTACGGTTATCGGTAAATTATCGGTAACAATTTACAATAAGCTTCCATTTGTTAAACCATACATTAGTTAACATGAACTAACAATGAAAAATACTTAACACGTTTATTAATCTTATTGTTAATGTCAAAATTCACTAATACATTATTAAAATCAAAAGTATCTGTTAAAATTATTTACAGTAACTGACCTGAGCTAATATGAATAAACAATAAATAGTTGTACTTTTGAAAACTAGGCGTAACAAAGATGAATAAATACTGTAACAAACATTGCTCATTGCTAGTTAATGCATCAACTGATGTTAACTAATAGAACCTTATCGTAAAGTGTTACCATGTATCTTTAAAAACATGCATTACAATGTAAATAATCATTCTTATTTGCCTTAATATAATGGGATTTTTTTGTTTTTTTAATTCTGGGATTATTTGGTGTGAAAATAATCCCACAATTCCAACAATCTTAATGGTCCTAAATCAGGCTTAACTCTTTATTTAATTATAAATGTCTTCTTTAGTATGATTTTGAGGTAAAATATGACACGTTCTTGAGAGTTGTCATGAGATTCACCCAGATTCTGCAGAAGACGCTTATTTAAGAGCAGCTTTTGAAGTGTGACTGTGACTTCAGCAGGAATCACTGGAATGACATATAATCAACGAAAGGGGCTTTACAGCAGGGTCCACATTCCCTCGAGGCTTCATTCAAAGCCCAGATTAGTGGGTGGCCATTCGCTAATGTGGGCTTTCTACCGCTGTGCGCATGGATAAAAAGCGTCCAGCAACTAAACTTAGACCGGGTAACAAATCCCCGGACAGCGCAGGTCATTTTCAGCGAGGAAGGTGGGCATGAAGGTTACTCATCTAGCCTCTTTTTTGATGACACAAACAAATGACACAACAATTACGCTGCGGGAGGTACACAGCTGTCCTTGAGGTCTGAATATGGGTCACTTTAATGGTTCAGTTTTTGACCACCCAGAGGTCAAAGGACACTACGGTCTAAATGGCATAACAAGTGTTTTCACGACTGATAAACGGGTCTGACCAAACAGGTCAAGAGACTAGATTGAACTATAACCAGATTTAACTTTAACAAGATTTTTGAACTGGGAACACTGAGCAGAATATATATATATATA